TTGTGTGGTTATGAGAGAGATATAGAGACGAGATGGGAAGATGATGAGAGGATTGAGAGAGTAGAGAAGAGAGGCCGAGAGAGGGAGAGAGATGACGCGAGAGAGAGTGAGGAAAAGAGAGAGAGAGAGAAGAGAGAGGAGAGATAGAACAGGGACAGACACGCAGACAGGAGACACAGAGACAGAGAGAGAGACAAAGAAAGATAAAGATAAAGAGAGAGAGAGAGCGAGGAAACATAGAAAGCAAAGGAAAGGAAGGAGTGAAAGGAGAAGTAGCGGGGAAGCCAGAGGAACAAAAAGCGATTCCCAAGACAGCTAAAAGCCTGAGCAAACAGGAGCGTTCCTTGATTACACAACCGGAAGGCAAGAAAAAGTAGGGACTGACTCCTATTGCGTGTGTGTGTTGGTGTGTGTGTTGTGTGTGTGTGTGTGTGTGGTGGGGTGTGTGGTGTGTGTGTGAGTGTGAGTGTGTGAGTGTGTGTGAGAGAGGAGAGAGAAAGAGAGAGAGAGAGAGAGAGAGAGAGAGAGAGAGAAGAGAGAGAGAGAGAGAGAGAGAGAGAGAGAGAGAGAGAGAGACAGAGAGAGAGAGAGACAGAGACAGAGAGAGAGAGACAGACAAGACAGACAGACAGACATAGACAGAAGAAAATAGAGAGAGAGAGACTGAAAGACAGACAAGCAGAGTGTATGTGTGTGCGTGTGCGTGTGCGTGTGACGGCACACACATTATTCCATTCTTCTTGCAGGCTGTGTAAACTTCTTCTCTTTTCTCCATGTTTCTATTTTTTTTTTCTCTTTCTCTCTTTTTTTTTTTTTTTTTTGTCCATGTTCCTCTTTGCCTTTCTCTGATTTTTCGTTCGCTTTTGTCTTTCTATTCGTTCGTCTGTCTGTCTCTGTCCGTCTGTCCGTTTTTCTGTACGTTTTCATTTCTCTCTATCTATTTATTTATTCATTTACTCATTTATCTATTATTTTATTTATACATTTATTCATTTACCTATCTGTCTATCTATCTATCTGTCTTATCTATTTATCTGTCTATCTATTTATCTATCTATTTGTCTGTCTATCTATTTATCTATCTGTCTGTCTGTCTATCTATTTATCTGTCTATCTGTCTGTCTACCTATTTATCTATCTATATTCATCCATCTATCTGTCTATCATCTTCCGTGCCTATCTCCCGCTTCTCCTTCCTCTCTTTCCTTCTCTCTCCTCTTTACTTGTTTCACTTTCACGCACAAACATAAACATACGTAAACTTAAACACTTAAACACACACAGACACAGTAAACTTAACACTTAAACATATAAATCACACACACACACACACACACACACACACACACACACACACACACACACACACACACACACACACACACACACACACACACACACACACACACACACACACACACACACACACACACACACGAGATACCGTGCTAAGCTTTGTTCCATCTCTTCAATTTTCTCAAATCACTCCCATCATTACACTCGTCACTCGAGGCTACTTTTATCCAAGCATTTCCGAGTGTAAAAATATGCTCCTAGATGACCCTAAATGGCCTAAATAGTTGTTATAGATATAGTTGTTTATCACTGCATTTTTCTTTGATATCATTATGTCCATTATCATTCGTCTGGGATCATTTTTTCTAGGAATTATCACTGCATTTTTCTTTGATATCGTTATTCCCATTATCATTCTTCTCTGATCATTTATTTCTAAGTATTATGGCTTTGTAACCGTTACGTCGAAACAAGGTTGTTTATCTATTCTTCTATATTCATTCATCTATCCGTATTTGGTTCGTTGTAATTACTATGTCATTTCGTTGGTGTTAATGGTGATTACTGACGATCTGCAAGTCATAATAGTACCCGGAATGCAGACCCACCATGAATTAGCTCTATCTAGATTCTGTGACGTCATCGAACCGGAAAAGAGGTGGTAAATACCCGCACACAAGCACGTACAGAGAAGTAGACATTCATAGACAAAGGCAGACAGACACCCACACAAACAAGCGGGTATATGTATGTATGTGTGTATGTATGTATGTATTTGTGAATGAATGAATATATTTTGTATGTATGCATACCCCAATCTAACACAAACATACACAACACGACAAAAAAAAATCAATACGCACACACATACACATACACGGATACACCCTACACACACATACACACATGGACACCCACCTACACACACACACACACACACACACACACACACACACACACACACACACACACACACACACACACACACACACACACACACACACACACACACACACACCTGTTGTAGATAGAGAGCGGAACTGTGGGTCAGTGGGTAGATCATCTACTCCTGGGTTGTAATAGAGAGACCATCTGTTGGCAACACTCTCGTTCCCACGTCTTGCAATGCACGATTTTTCTTCTTCCTTTTTTTCTGTTTTTTTATTATCTTTTAATTCCTTTTTGGCTTTGCTTTATAGTCTTTGTGAAAGGGAGAGCGTTAGAGGAGTGTGTGGTGGGTGAGGAGAGGAAAGAGGGAGTGAGGAAGAGAAATTGAGAGAAGGAAAGGTGAGGAGAAAGAAATAGGAAAAGAGAGAAAGAGACATAAAGCAGAAGAGACGGTGGAGAGGGAGGGAGGCAGAGAGAGAGATAATGATAAATAATAATAATAATAATAATACATCATTA